AACGAACTGCTGCCCCCCAGCTTGTCTCCCGCTGAGGCCCGTTGATCGCTTGAGGTGTTGGTACAGCCCCCGCATGTCGCGGTCCTGGTAAATCGCTTCGAGCTCCGTCATATACCCTTCCAGGTGGTCGTAGACGCTCGTTGCGATGGTGTGGACGAGGTCAAAAAAAGAACACAGCAGCAGCAGCACCAAACCGACACACACGTTGGTCACTCGGTGTGGACGAGGTCAAAAAAAGAAAACAGCAGCAGCAGAACCAAACCGACACACACGTGTCCCAAATGACAGTTGAACGACGCCGCAAAGAGAGGACAAACGGGGTGTGAACGAGTGACTCAGGGGTTGGTGCAAGGAAACAACGATGCGAGAAGTGTTCACCTGNTTGTATATCGGTGCAAAGGTGGTGCGAACACACACACACACGGACATCAATTTGAGAACAGTAAATAATTCAGGGGTCGGGCTGACAGGCGGTGTTATTCAACGTGCGCAGAACCCAGGCGGGGAAACAAAAGGACCCATTTCAGACAGTTTTTTTGCGAAAAATAACTCCGCTATCGCTCCGTTTGTTTTCGCACGCGCGCTTCGCGCGCGGAAAAAACTCCTACGAACTCACCTGTGCGCCTGGACCATGCCATCGGGCATGGCCAATGCTGTGTGCATGGGCATGTTTGTTCATGCATCAAGAAGACGAGTGTCTCGTGTGCGACTCTTGCGGTCGAGGTAATCGATCTCTCGTAGTCGCTGTCCCCTCCGTAGGTACTCCTCCCTTTCAATACAACGTAAAGCTACGGAATAGTCTAGACTATTCATGCATGTCGCGAGACTAGTCTACATACCGAGTCTATGTACATTTAGACTACGGACATGTCTTACAGCAGTAGCCTAGGGTTTAATTGCAACTGCCACAATCGAACCAACGGCTCAAGTCTAGACGACAGCACCTGTGTCCGCAGACCATGTCTACCCAAAACTCACAATCGAATCAAGGGCTCTCGACTACAGCAGTACCTGCAGACCATGTAAACCCAAACCCCACGTGCATCTGTCCCTTTAAAACCTGCTGCTGTTTCGCGTGGCACTGCTACCTTGTCCGTGCTTAGACTAGACTTACATATACAGGCGTAGTCATCTTACAGACGCGGCCCTTCCTCCATCCTGTCGCTGTGTGTATGTACATATGTATTTCATTGATTGGGTGACGCAGGATATGGCATCACATGCTCCGATCGCCGGGGTGAAGGATGGGCTCATTGACGTGCTGGCACAACACTGTCGTGGCACGTTTCACATCCCTGTCACCAACGTCAACAAAATTGGGCGTCCCATTCTAAAAAAAAGGCAAGGATCATAACGGATTGATATCAGCGGCTTCTCGTTCCATAGGCTCGTAAAAAAGTACGCCTACGTCCAGTCAGGTGCTCTCGAGACATTTGTCCGCCCATGGATGCAAAAGCGGGATGACGAGGCGAACGAACTTAGCAACAAATTGCCCGGCGACCGACGTTTGTCC